ATCACCCACGCAAATAAAAAAAAACATACAGAGAAACAAAATTCACAGTAAGAAGATTTAGGTAAGAAAAAAAAGTTGTAGAAATTTCTTGATGATTAATTTTACTTTTTGATGGTAAAAGAAAAAGTTGAGGGTTTAAATTCTTCTCCAATATGAGAGAGAGAGAAAGAGGTTAAAAGTAGTGGGGGTCGTGGAGGTGAGCGGTTGTAGCCGACGAACCCTAGAAAATTTGATTTTTGTAAAGTTGCCCTCTCTTTCGGTTTTTTTTCTTTACGTCTTCTTTTTTATTTTGTTTCTTTAATTTTTAATTCTTTAAATTATTAAACTCATCCTATGTGGCAGAAGATGATTGGTCATGTGAGTATATTAAAGATAATTTTTGTATTCTTCTGAAGCCCAGTAAAGGCCCAACCCAATATCTATCATCATGAAACGACATCGTAACAAAATTAGACTTGCGTACTTTGATCGAAATGTCTTCTTCTTCCTCATTTTGCTACCAAAATCTCTTCGTCTTTGCGTTCTCTTACAAAGTCCTGCACTCTTTCCACCATTGAAGAGAATAAGACACTAATCTACGAGTAATAAGTACGTTGAGAAGTCTATAACCTGTTAGACCACATCTCTATCAACCATATACTCGAAGAGTGTGTGTCCGCTGTATGTACTTCTAATGCCTATCAACTGTTCGACGAAACGCCTAAGTGAGACTTTTTTTTCAGTTTCTCTCTCCGTTTGATGTTTATTGTATCATTTTCAGGGTTTTCACGTTTGGTCTGTTCTTCAGTTCTTGGATTGTTTTGATACGGAGCAGTCATGGATGGTAAGTGATTGAAACATTGCGAATTTGTTCTTCTGTCACATATCTTTGTGCTGCATTTTGGGAATTGGTGAATCAGAATGCTTTCTGAAGAAACTGTTATTGTTTGGCAGCTTAATGATCATGAAATGAAATCCAATCTTACAAACGCATAGGCTATGAAGTTGTTTATATTATGTAAAATTTCTTAGTATACCTTGTTAGAACCCCAAATTTGCATTGAAATTGAATCTTTGTTTTTGTAAAATTGAATTTGAGGTAGCCTGGTGATAGAAGTTTTTGAATCCTGGCATTAGCAAGTCCCTTTTTGCTTGTATATGAAAAAGTTGTAATATCGGTGATTCAATTTTTCAGTTGATTCACAACCAATGATGGAGGAGACCATTCTGGTCGGTGACGACCTAATGATGGGTCCTCCATCTCCTGTCATCCCTCCTGAAATTGCTTCACATGTGCTTGAAGGTGTTGAGTTGTGCGATGGGATTTTGAGGAATCTATTCCTATGTAAGTCTTTGTATCCTCTGTTTTTCCCATTTCTCAATTCAATGTTTACTCGGGTTGGTTTATAATACACCCTTCCCTCTGTCTGGTTTTAGGCTTGCAAATCAATGATATTGAACCATTTTGCCAAGATGAGCTTGCCTTGTATCGACAATGTGCTGAAAAAAGGGTAACGTTGTCTGTCTCCACATTAACCATCTGCTCAGATTATATTTCCATAAAGCTTTTTCATATCCATTTCCTTGAGTTTTTTTCGTTTTCTTATAATCCTTCTCTAGGACAAGATATTGAGAGTAAGACTTCAAGAGAGCGAACATAAGCTAGGATCCTCTATGCCTATTGAGCTCGCTAAGGAAAGGATTACTCAGCTTGAAGCTGAAGCTACATCACTAGAGAGGTACTCTTTCTTATCATTGCAGTGATCCAGAGACAATTGCAGATTCAAAGCTTCTGTTGTATTTTGTTTTGGATAATCTTTATGATGGGAGTTTGTCTCCGGATCTGTGCTACCATGTAATCATGTTATTCTAACAAAATGAAACTCTGTTCTTAATCTAAATCTTGACTAAAATTGATTTTGTTTTTTATAATCAGGCACTTGATTCTAGCCAGTGGAGCTGAAGGAATTGAAGGATTTCGCCAGAGATGGAGTTTGCACGGTCGGATGACAGATACCAAGTACTGTAACAATTCTAAACCTTATATAATAACAATGTTCATACTGGAATTTATATGCTGCTTGAGACTAGATGAACACACCAAATAGCTGCTTACACAAATCTTTGCTTGGGTTATCAACTGTTACTATCGTACCCTTTGTGTGGTATAATCTGTTTGAATTGGGTTTGCTTCTTTAGCTTAAAGCCAATGTTTTTGTGGTGTCACAGAAAAAGACTGGAGGCACTGAAGCAAGGAATGGAGAACAGGAAAAAGGATGAACAACATGATCAATCCCCAAAACCCTCTACTTCTAAAAAATGGTTCTTTTGGTGAAATTTTTGTTATTATTTTTTGCAGTATTCAACAGAATGAACCATTTGTTGGATCATAATCACACAGTTATGGTGCATATACTTCCCAATGTAACCATGTTTAGCTATGAAAAGCATAATAAATGTAAAAATTTTATCTTATTTCATACATTTATGCATGAAACGACGTCGTAACGAAACATCATTTGACCGAAACCGTCTCCTACCTCCCACAGCAAAACCAAAACAAAACAGTCTTTTGCACTCTGCAAGAGAATTTTCCAAGAATCCTTACAGTTACAGATCTGCGATTTTCTTGACTCAAATTCAATCCGACATGGAAGCCGAGAAGAAGACAGAATCAACCAATACTAAGAACGTTAAGAAGGTTAACCTTTTAGATCACAACTCTGTCAAACACATCCTCGACGAATCCGTCTCCGAGGTAACCCATAGAAGAAAAACCACAATCCCCACAAATTTTTCCCCAATCGATTTCTCCTTATTCTCTGATCATTTTGTGATTCGTTCCTTTTCTTTTCGTTTTTCCTGTGTTAGATCGTTACGAGCCGAGGTTACAAGGAAGATGTGAGGTTAAGCAACCTTAAATTGATGTTAGGAGCGATTATTATCGTCGTTGCTCTTGTTGCTCAGTTCTACAAGAAGAAGTTTCCTGAGAACAGAGACTTTTTGATCGTTTGCATTGGATTATATCCTTTTTTCGTTCGAATTCGATTGATGATATATGTTTGATTCTCATCGCGGTTTGTGGTTTCTTCTAGGGTTAAAAGTATGAAATTGAAGATAATGGAAACTGGAAATTGAATATATATATAATTGTTTTCTTGATATGATTCGATTATTTTTTGTGTGTTTAGCATTAGATTTGAGAAACTTGAGAGTCTATTATATATGAATGTATGATCATTTTGGATATTTCTTGACTATGGCAAGTATGTGGTGTTGAGTGCGGTAATGCAGCTGATTATGTACACTATGGAGAAGAATGCAATATTGTTCACTTATCCTCTTGAGGTTTGTTCCCTGACTTTTGAGAATATATGTTTCTTTGAGAGCTAAATTTGGATAGTATTGTGTGCTTTTGGGCTGCATTCTTGTTTTTTTTCTGTAACGCAACTACTGTAGTTTCGGTGATTTTGGTGCATAATGTACATATTTCCATGCATTCGCTTTTTCATACTAGAGTTATATCTTGATTTCCTTCTGTTTTGTAAAGAGTTAGAATTGTGCCTCTGCTAGCTTCGCATGTGTTGTAGAGTTTGCATCGCATCTTGGTGTTTGGTATTTGAGCTCCAGGGAGAACTACATTTCCCTTTCACAATGCCAACTCTACCCAACATCTCACTAGCTCGTCCATTGAACGGCTCCTCTCACTTAATTTGTACAGAATGATTTGTGTTTATTGGTGAGGTTAAGTATAGACAATAAAAAAATGTTCATTTTGTTTTGCTAGAAACCATTTGATATGTTGTGCTAAATGGGTTTTACCAGATTATTCATTTTTCTAACGTTCTCTGGTTAATAAATAAGCACTACGAATCAGGCATGTGTTAACGGTTGTTTCACTCATCGTTTCCTAACTTGAAATTCGGATGTTTAATATGGTGCAGGGATCATTCACCAGCACTGGTTTGGTGGTATCTTCCAAGTTACCAAGATTCTCTGATCAGTACACTCTCAGAATCGAAAGTGCTGATCCGAAATCAATCTCAGCTGGGAAGCCAGTCCAGTTCACCAAAAGTGTCACTCAATGG